TCTGGGGAGCTTTTACTGCTGTTATGGCTGCCTGCCAAAAACCTGGGGGGCCAGCAGGCAAAAGGATGCAGCATCACGTTTTCCCCAGCTGGCTTTCTCCCCCTACCCTTTCCTGAGAAGCAGCACGGAGCCTTTTGGGGGAAGAGTTCACAGCCCCTCCCTGGGTGATCAAAGCAGCCGCTTCTGAGTGGAGAAAGGGGCTCTCCCGTGGCCTTAATCCTGATGGAGGGCTTGCTGAAAGCCTTTTTTTTCAGAAAGGGGACAGCCTTGCAGGGATGGGGGAGAGCAGCTCCAAGCCTGGGGGGCAGAATGGGGATTGGGGGGCAGCTGAAGGTGGCCGATTGAAAGGACCCCGAGCCCAACCTTCAGCGCGGTGGCCCTCCTCTTTCCCTGCCAGTAAATAGAGGCCCGCTTGCCAAAGAAATCTTGGAATTTGTGGCTCTGTTGTTTTGGCCTTGTTATTCCTAGTCTCTAGAACCGTTTTTTAGAACTGCCAATATTTTTCTCGTTTCCATCTGGAATTTCAGCAGCAACACACTTGTTTGAAAAATGGGCAGCGTCCCAGCAGGAACGCAGCCAGGAAGGCTCCCGCCTTCTCCGCAGAAGCCCCCATTCCCACAGCCACATCGGGCACCGTGTCAGAGGGGACGGCGCTCCCCACAGCCCCCTCTAAATGTCAGAGGAGGTTTGGGCCAACCTGCCACGTGGGAATTCTGTCTCGATGGGAGCAAGGTGCGGGGCCAAGTTTCCCTGCACCTGGCTCGCCCTGCCCGGCTGCTTCTCCCAGCTCTTCCGTGGAGCATCCGTCCTTCTTTCCCCAAGGGGGGCTGTGGCTGCACAACCGAAAGGTAACTGTCCATTAATTTCCCTTCCCCCCCCCCGATTTGGCACAGGCCTTCCCGGGGTGGGGCCATTCTGCAACTTTGTGCCAGTTGCAGAAGGGAGCCGCTCTTTCTGAAAATGCTCCAAGGACATTTTATGAGCTTTCTTAGGCAGGAACATTCGGAACGGTCTCTTTAGGTTACGGAATACCCTTGGTGAGTGAACCGGGTGTGCGTGTGTGTCTCGCTGTGTCCTTGTGTGAAGGAGGTGTGACTTTTATGGGGCAAGTCTGGCTCTTCACTGGCCCCCACTCCTCTGAAAACACCATCAAAGGCGGGCTGCAATTTCCCTTTCTTTATTGGCTGAGATTCCGAAGTATCCCTCCCCCCCCACCGCCTTCCTTTGCAGCCATAGAGCATCAGAAGTCCTTGCAGGATGTCCCCCCTCCCATTAAAGATCAAAGTCTTGTAGGGGTCACTAATCAGAGGTGCCAACCTGTTGCTGCAGGAAGCAATAATCACAGGGGCCCTTTGCCCCCCTCTGGTGAATTGCTCTGCCTGTCAAATGGCATCTCTTTGATTTCATGGCTGCCCTGCAATTTGGGGGCGGGGGAGGTGGCAGCTTGTCCTACCAGGTGAGACCAGCAGCCTTGCCTGGGAGAAGAGGCAGGCTGACCTCCCTCTCTGCCCAGGACTGGCCTGGTGGGAGTTGGGGATCCCTGGGTGATAAAAGCAGATAATGTGCTCCAAAATGGAAACACTTTAATGGTGTTTAAATTGTTTTTGAGGCAGAGTTTAATTGGGACACTTCACTGGGGCATTGAGCTTGTGTGGAAATGAGACCAGCAGGCACTTCAAGTTGTCTTCAATGACCCGACCAGCGCCAGCCTCAGAGATCGGCTCTCTCCAGATGTTTCATCCCTGCTGCCCTGCAGTGTTTGAGCAAGAATAAAAAGGTCAGCACAAGACTTAGAGCACACATGATGGTGGCTTTGGAAGGGAGAATCTCTCCTCTCCTCTCCTGGGACAAGGCTTTGGGCCCAGCTGGGACGGAGAAGAACCAGCAGGGTTTCTGTGCCTACATCTCCCCTGCAGAGGCAAAAAATTGCCCCCAATCGGAAATGGTCAGCCTCTTTCAGCAAACAGGAAATAACACCCCATTTATGGGCCCAATTGCAAAAAGTGCCCCCCCCCCAGGAAAAGAGGCTGGGGAGAGGCCCCACCAGCCTCTTTCACAACAGGTGTTGACTTTGTATTGCATTTCCTTTGCTGTCCCTTAGATCTGTCCCAGGAGCCGGATGGACTGGCTGTGCCATGTGATGGGGTGAAGCGCCAGACCCTACCTGGGTCCGTGCTCCTGTCTGTTAAAGGGCTCCGTTGGGGCTTGGAATGGATGACCTTCAATCCCCTTCTCGGGTGAGGTATGGTGAGATGTGGTGAGATTGCAGGAGTCTTATTTTGTATTTCGCTCTTTGGGTGGGTGGGCTGGGAACCTCTAGCATCTCTCTTGCTCAGGCAGGTGGTAGAAGTTGGTTCCCTCTTTGGGCTGGGAAGCAGGTTTCCTATCTAAAGAATAAAAAGCTTTTCCTGGAGGAGGCTAGAAGAGCAGAGCAAAGACCTCAGAAGAAGTTCTATTTTCCTGACCCAGAAAAAGTTCCTGCCTGTCTAACTTCAGGGCTGGTTTTCCTTTGACTTTGTCACTTTAGGTGGTTGGTTGCAACTTAAAGGTCTGAAATATTTGGGGATGGGGGGGGGTGAAGTAAGGGTTTGGAAAGGACCCGTTCTCCAGGGGATGCTTGCTTTCAGCTTGCACTCGATGGGTGGTATAGGAAACACCTATGAATCCAGCTAAGCTGCAGCAGAGAGTAAGGGGCAAGTATTAATTAAATTCTGACATCTGGAAAGGCAGATTCTGAGACGGGGACGTGTTGTCGCTCTGCTTCCCTCCCTCTGTCTTTCTCGCTGTCTTTCAGCCTGTCCTTCAGCCTATTGTTTTCTCACCCATGTAGGAAGGTTCCTGTAGAGGGCAAGGAGCCCTGATCTCCACCTATTGATGGCTGAGCCAATCAATGCTATCTTCTCTTCCCATGCCTGCACGGCCATTGATTTTTGTTGTTGTTGTTACCTCTGTTTATGTAATGTCTGAACTTTGCACAACTCAACCGTTTAATGTGCAGAAAAGGAGGCCCGTTGCCATGAAAACACGGCTCCCAATGACAGCATAATGCGGAGTGAGCCCTCTTTGCTTGGACTGTGCCGAGCGTATTTTAACCTTGATAAGTCAATAACTTTGTAGAAAAGAAAGCCGGATCTGATGGGGCTTTCAAGGCATTGAAGCCGGAGGAGAAAGGCCGGTTTTTAATTCCCAGGAAATCTCTCTCCCTCTGTACGATAGCGCAGCAGAGCTGTGAAAAGAGAAAACGCACTGCCCTTGTTGTTGTTGTTGTCGTTGTTGTGATTTGTAGGCTCTATAAACAGCCAAGTAGAAAGAAGTGGATATGTTTGTGGCTTCTAAGGGGGATGAAGATGGTCGGTGCACCCTATGGGGCAGGGAAGCCCAGGGTTACCAGGGGGCAGAGAGGGTTCTGGGGACAGGCGGGGGGGGGAAAGGGGGGTGTGAAGCTGCCCAGGAGCCAGAGGTAGGGTCGGATGAGAAGTCAGTGGGAACCGGAGCCCAGCATCGCCTTAAGACTTTGCGGCAGAAGCCCTTTTGTGGAAAGCATTGACCAGCCCGGACGGGGACGATGGGAGCGGCTTGAGCAGAGTGGTCTACTCTAGGCCGGTAGAACTTCAGCCCAAACCTCCCTCGCACCCGGACGATGAAGCAAGGCGCGCTGAAAAGCGGAGGCAGGAGCCTCAAGTTGCCCCCCTGCAGCCAGAGCATCCCAGGGCCTTTATTTGTATGAACGGGCCAGTCGCGCAGCCCCCTCCTTTGGGGACGCACGGACAGACTCGTTAGAAACCCGCATTAAAGTCTCGTTAGCGCCGCAAAGGGGGCCGGGGCCGGGGAGGGGGCCGGACGGGGCTCCGGGGACGGGAACCGGGCCGAGCGAGCCCGCTTTCGAATTCGGCCGCGTGGCTGCCGAGGCCCCGCCCCTTCGGCGGGGGGAGAGGACGCTTCGTGGCGTCGCCCGGGCAACCCAGGCCCGGGGATAATGGGGGGCGTGGCCGGGCCGCGTGCGCCGCGAGACGCGGGGAGCGCAGGAGGCGCGCGCGCTGCGCGGCTCAGAGTCGCCGGCGCCGCCGCGGAGGGAGGTCGCCGCCGGAGCCTCCCGCTTCGTGGAGCCGGCCGGGCCAGCCGCCGGAGCCGCTTCGCCTCCCGAACCTCCGCAGCGCCGCTGCCGGCCGTCGCGCTCCCCGCTTGGAGGAAAGGAGCCGGCGGAGCGGCGTTCCCGGGGCTGCTCCCTCGCCTTCTCGCCGGCCCGGCGCCCGGCCGGACCGAGCCGCACTCCGCGCCTGGCCGGCCGCGACGGTTCCGGGCCGCCTCCTCCGCCGGGCTCTGCCGCGCGGCCCCCGGGGACCCAGAGAGCTGCCCGCTTCGCCCGTCCGCCGCCGCTCGGGGCCGGCTGCTCGGCGCGGCGGCGGCGGCGGCGGCGGCACACAAAGGGACCAGCCTCGTCGCCCCGCCGCCCTTCTCCATGTCGTCTGTGCTGCTCCGGCAACGGCACGCGCGGCCCGGGCAGGATGTGAGCCCCGCTGGCGGCCGGCGACCCCCGCGGAGCCCCGGCCGGGCCCCGCCGCACTCGGGCTGCCCCTGAGGATCGCGGCGGGCGGCGCCCTCTCGGCTGCGAGGCATCGGCGACGCTCCTGGCTCGGCTCACTTCATGGCCGCGAGGACCCGGAGGCGGCGGCGGTGGAGGCGGCGACGACTGCTGCTCTCGGCCGAGGCGCCCTGAAGCCGATCCGGGGCCGCACCGAGATGGTAAAGCGGGGCGAGGGCCGGGCGGGTGCAGGGGCGCGCGCCCTTGGCCGGGGATGATGGGCAAGGCAGTCTGTCCGTGTGGCTGGGACGGCCCGCCCCGTCCTTGCCTTGTCCGTCCCTTCCCCGCCCGCTTCCCTTGGCGATTTGCCCGATGGCACAGGTTCTCCCCCGGGGTGAAGCTTCCTGCAGCTGGTAAGCCTCCCCCCCCCAACACCGAGCATCAGGGCGGGGATGGGGCCCTTGGAGAAGGCGGGGTGCCTGAGGGGTGCTGCCCCCCCCAAGCCTGCTTACGCTGGTTCCTCCTGAGCAGGCCTGGAGCTGTCTGGTTTTAGCCTTCCCTGAGCCCAGATCCTCCCCCCCCAACTGAAAACCTTGATGATGGCGTTGTGAAGGCTTCGAGAGGCAAGTTGGCACAAACGTAACCAGGAAGATTAAGTCCCCTCCAGGCCGCAGAGTCTTTCTGGAACACCTGCCTCCCCCCCCCCATTCCCCATCTGCTCCGGGGACGCTCTCTGGTATGGGTGGGGTGAATCCGGAGGCCTTTTCACAATGGAGAAAACGCCATTCGGAGTTAAGTCTGGGCACTCGAGTCCAGCGGTCAAGCGTAGGCTTTTGCTTTGGGACATCAACGCCTCATTGTGCAAAGTGTGTCAGGCATAAGACTTTTTTCCCACTCTCTTTCCCTGCTTGCTTGGAAAAAAAGTTTTCAAGTTTCAGACTTTGCAGGGAATTTTGTTGGAGAGAATGAAAAAGAGTCAGAATTTCAGCACCAGAGCAAGGGACCTGCTCTTTGGCCTGAGTTTAATTGTTATTATGATGTGTTGAAATTTCCTTGAAACGCTGAAGGTATCCGTTGCATGAAACAAGCTGGTTTATGTGTAACTGCACAGACTTTTTCTGGACGGACCAGCATGGAAAATTCTGTGAAATGTTAAAATCTGCACGCTTTTAATGTCAGCCCACTCAGGCGAAACCTTTGGGCTGCAAGCACCCTCTCCCTGGGCACTGAATGAAAATGCCTGAGTCGCCTTGACCTAGGCGCTCTTTTGAGTCAAAATTCTGAAATTGGAGCCTCCTTGAGCCTCTTTTTTCTCTTTTGGTGCCCTATCGAGGGAATGACTTTCCCCCCTGGAATTCTACATCATTTGCCCGATCAAGAACTCTGCAGAACTCAAAAGCTTGCACAATTGGCCAGCGCTTTGCTCGATCAACTGTAGGTCCCTGGTGTTTTTATCTTATGGACCAGAAAGGGTGCCTGGTCTCCTTTTTGGGGGGCATTGATTGGGAGAAGGAGGGGCTGGGAATCCTTTGTGTCCTCCCTGCCTTTAAAAGCCTCCCAGACTGGCCTCCTCTGCAGATCCGCCACTGCTCGAAGAGGTCAATAAATCTCCATTCTGCCGCCTTCCTCTCAGTTTCACGCTGCGAGATATTTCAAGTCTAAAGGGAGCTGCATTAAAAATTTAAGCCTCTGAGCCACGGTGGTACGTCATGCAGGCCCTTTCGAATGGCTTCTCCCGGCATGGGGTGTATGGGCTGGGAGGCGGAGAGTGGATTTCACTTGGATTGTTAGAGAGGCGTAGAGAGATGATGTGGGCTGTTTTCCTGATGCGGGGGTCTGATTCTGCAACGTTACTCACCCCTGGAAGAGGTGTTTGTGTTCCGGTCAGTATCTTCAGCTTGTTTGCATAAAGTGGTGAGTGCCGTCCTCCCCCCAACCCTAATTCCCAGCTCTGAGGCTGTCTGTGTAGGTTGATACACCTGGCTAAGGATTGCAGGCTGCCTGAGTGGGGCAGGTATTATTGTTACCAAAGGTTGGGTCCACCTCAGCTTGGGTGTGTGAAAGATCAAAAAGCAACCTGTTTCCAAAGGTCCACTTTCACGTTGTGGACTGTTTTTCCTCCTTTCTCTGCTTGCCACAGCTCACGGTTTGTAGAGTAGTGACTTCCACACCTTTGCAGAGAAGTCCTTGAAGGAAAGGGGTGCCTCTCTGCCCAGTAGAAGAAGGTGAGGCTTTAAAGGGGGGGCAGCTGCATGGGGATCTTTTCACCCTAGCCAGGGGGAGGAACCACTAGGCCTTCCTGCCTGGCGCATTCTTGGGGAAAAGCTAACATTCACGCCAGGTAATTCAATCAAAGGGCAATTCCCCCTCTCTCTGGCTAATGCCACACACAAAAGGCCGGCTTTATTACCTCCTCCTAGCCAGGCGAATTGCTTCTCTCCCTGGAGTGAGCCGCTAAAGCTGGCTTTATTATGTTAACCTATTTGCGTGTCAAGAGCTATTGTGCGGCTGCCTATCGCTGTTTGAGCTTGCCTGGCACCACCAGGGAAGGGCAGGGGAAAATGGCTGGTCGCTGGCCACTCCAGGGCGCCGCTCGGTTGCTAAGTGACTTGCTCCCCTGCGCCCTCCTCGGGAAGAGATGCCCTCCATAATTATCAGCTGGCTGACATTGGTTGAGGGCTGCCTAACACCTCCCTCCCCCACCCGCCCTCTCCCCTCCCCTTTGGAAGAAGCAGAATCTGCACTGGGGAGGGGGGATCGGGACCTGCACTCGCCACACCTTCAAGGGAGCCACTGCACGGAGGTCTCGCCCGGGGCCGCCAGGCCTGGTGGGCTGGCAAGTTTTGGAGGCCTTTTCTCTGATAAGAATTGAAATGGTGAGCATCCCTCACTTTTTGAGTGAAATGCATCCCCTCCCTCCCTCCCTCCCTTCCTTCCTTCTTTGCTTTCCTCCCGCCAAACATACAGGTAATTTAGGATGATAGAAAGGGCCTCCAAGCCTAGTATTTCACTCCCACACACACCCCTTCACTGTCACTCCTTTCAGGAAGAAAAATCAGCCCTCCTTCCCCTCCCACTGATCTCTCCTTGCACTCAGATCCCCCCCCCCCAGTCGTCCCTCCAGCCCACCTTCAGGAGCCCTGCAGGAGAAGAGAAAGACCTTCTTCACTCTATGAGGAGACCCACATTTTGAAAGCTGCCCCTCCTGAAAAGGATGGGACAATTCAGGGGGGTCCCCCAGAGATGTGAATATTATCCTAGGAACTGCACAGAGACACTGAAAGTCGGGCGGCATGCGCGTTAAAAATTATTGTAATTATTATTATTATTATCCGTGCCATCTTAACAAGTGGCAAGGAAGGGGCTTGTGGTGGCTTCCCTGTCCCCCCCCCTCAGCTCTGCGTCTGCAGTGTGCTTTGTGTGCTGCCAGAGACGGCAGCTGGCCCCGTGGGGGGGGGGTTGCGCAGAGCAACCGAAGATGCGTGCAGGTGTTTGCTTGGCTGATTTAGTTATTTATTGGTTTTCCAAGGGGCTTTCTTGTTTCTTCGACCAGCACAGCAGCTTCCGGTACTAAAAGGATAGAAGCAACATTCTTGCAATTAAAAATCAGAGTTAAAATTAAGCGTTGAAATACAATTAATCATTAAAAGCTTATTCTGCTTGCAGTTTTTCTATTCCATATAATTATCTCTAGGCATCCTTCCCACATCGGCTGCATCTTAGAGCTTGCTTATCAGATTGGGATTATCAGCCACCCCCCGGGGAAGTTTGGTTGGAATTTCCTGTTCTTTGCGTCCAGAGCTAGAATTTTTGAAACCACCTTGTTCAAATTCCGCCTGGACCACCAGAAATCGCCTCCTTCTGCCCATCCTTTGACAGCCACGTCCAGCAGGAGCCGGGAAAGCAGCCGCGCCTCCCAACTGCTGGCTTCCTGTGGTGGATTTGATCCAGAAGGGGAAGCTTGAATCCTGGGATCTGAGGCCTGGATGGGGTGAGGGGACCTGTTTGCTCCAGGATGTTAGGCTTCTATGGTGGGTGATCCTTCTCTTCCCCTTCACTCTCTGCAGGTCAGGTGGGTGAAGGGGCTTGAAGCCCCCTCCCACCAAGACACGGCAGAGGCACCAAGGTTGTCTGTGTAGTTGCTGGCGAGACCCTCTGAATTGTGGACCTCTTCTGGTTTTTCCCGGCTTGGCTGGCTGTGAGCGATTTCTGCTGCCCCTCAGTGCTCTGGGCCCCTCTTCCCACTCTGGGTTTGAACTTTGCTTTCAGGTTCCCCCCCCCGTTTTTGAGTGGAGGGATTGAAACATGCAGGAGATGCTTTTTCTGGTGAGCCACTGGCGTTATCCAATCCAGAGCAACTTGCTGGAAATTGTGCTTGCCTGGTTGGGGAGCCCCCTCCCCTTTCTTCCCAGCTGCTGCCCGCCCCCCTTTCCCGGGTCTCACGATGGCTCTTTGCTGGAGAGGCACAGAAAGGAATCTATTTATGACTGCTGTAAACAACCTTTCAATAAAACAGGTTAATGACCTGAAACCGACAAGAGCCTGCTGGGAATTTTTTATTGCCCGGGAAGACAATATTGGCACTTTTGAGCCCCCTCCCAGGGCCGGCTGCACTTGGCCCCCAGCCTTTCAGCCTCCTGAACTCCACACGCCCCCCAGCCCCGCTGCCCTGGCCGGCCAGCCAGATGCCGGAGGTCCCTGCAGGGCTGGGGGGAGCTTCTGGGCTCCCTGGGAGCCAAATGAATTTTGCCTGCTTCTTCCCAGGAGTAGCCTTGCATAGAGTGGAAGGAAGGGGGGGGAATGCTCCTCGCCCCAAGATCTTAATTGCTTTGCATTTTCCCTCCTGCAGATCAGCGAATTGGCATTTTAATTCCAGAGAAAGGATCCTGAGATGCACAGGGTTTTCCTGGAGGGGGGGGGCAGTTCCTGATTAATCAGCTGCTTTGTGAATTCTCTCCTCCCCCACTTCTGTCACCTGCTGGCTGAACTTTTGGGGTGTAAGCTTAAATGCAGCTGGGTAATTGCTTCTTTGTGGTTCTGGTGGAATAAAAGAATCACTTTGTCTTTTGAGCCGGGTGCCCCCCCATCTAGTTTGAAAAATGTAAAGGAAGGGTGAGCAGGGGGAGGGAGGGAGATTTGGGAAGGCGACCTACAGGCAGCTACTGTGAACTAATGGGGGCAGGCTGTGCTCCTCCTTGTCCCTAATCCTTCTTCATCTCTCGCCCGTCAAGCGTGGCTTCCTTGCACCTCAGGGGTCTTAGAGGGCACAGCGATGGCTGCTGGCTCCCCTCAGTGTAGAAAAGAAAGGGAAGAGATCGAAGTGGGGTAGATTCCCCCCCCCCAACTCCTTGCGCCCGCATTATCTGTATGAAAGCTGGGTCTTGGTGGAAAGGTGGCCTTGGGCAGGAGAGCGGGCAGACAGAAATGGGCACCCTCCCTTTGGAGGCAGCTGAATGAAGGCGCAAAGGATTTGCACGCCAACCTGCTTCGGGGATTGTGAGTGTTCAACTGATTTCAAGGGGAGGGGAGCTGTATTTCAGCCTTTCAGCTGCCTGTTCATGAAGGGCACCTGTATGTTTACAGATTTTGCTTTTGAAGTGCTTGAGGCTCACTGTGCGGCAGGTAATCGGCCCACCACTACTCAGGTTTTAAGACTTGGGCTGGGGGGGGGCTCCTTCATGCAATTTCCATGTCACAGCCACCTTCTGGGGGTTTGCAAACCGGTTCGGGTGGACAATTTCCTCTTTGTAAGAAGAGATCTACGGTTGGTGCTGTTATGGATGAAATATCAGGATGTTCTCCAGCCTCTTTCTGGAGATAGAAGGCCTGTGGCTGAAGGGTATTGTAGTCTAGCCCGTTTGGAAGACACAGGAGGGGGCTTTCTGAAATGATGGGCTGGCCAACAGAAAGAAAAGACTTATGTTCTGTCTTTGCCTGGAAAAGAATGTTGTTTGAAGCAGCTGACGTCAAAATAGGAGTAAAAGAGACCTGGTGTGATTAAAGCATTAGCTGGAGTAAAAACACATTAAAGTCCTCTTGGCAACAAGTTGGCTTGATTGCCGGAAGCCTGTTTGAATGGAAATCTCTGCATTGGTGCTTCGGGAAATAGGAATATTTAGCAGAAATTTGGATACATCTCGTTCCCTGAAGCTTTGGGGTTTGAAAAGGGGCTGACGGAGTCGGCTTGGTGGTCTCAAGTCTAACTTTTTTTGGGGGGGGGTCTTAAAGAATAAAAAAGATTTTGGAATATTGGCTTGTCTCAGAGTGAAAAGAGAACAGACATGTCCTCTGCGGGTTTTCTGCGTTCGAAGGTGGGACCGAGACTGTCCAGCCAGGCATGGAGAAGCTCTAGGAAGTCTCCGGGTGGTGAGCTGGACCATTACTGGACGTGGCCACCTCTTTTTGGTTTCTGGGCCCTCCGGAAGAGCTGGTGC